ACACTGTAAAAAGATTAAAAATTCCGTGAAGTAATGGGCATTGTATATCAGGCATACCGTGTGAGTTAATTTTTGTCTGGGCTCTTTAAAGCGTTCGTAAATCTAAGCACGTGGTGGTGCAAGGTGACTGCTTTAAGTGCAGTTTAAGTACCAATGTGTCACAGTTTATGTGATAGTAGTATTTCTATGTAGTTGTACCATGGCCACATAAACACAACTAAGGCTCCTCGCGTGATCGATAAACTACAGTGCCGTAGTTGTACACCTAACAGCGCGCAAATGCATAACCTGGAGCATATTTTTTTAACAATGGAGTTGTTATAAAACACTGCATTCACACACCACTTAATAGTCCTTATGTTCAGGAGGATGCGAAGAGCATTTTGCGATGTGCTTGAAACAGAAAGCGGCACCCACTCTGAAATTATAATGGTGAATAGAGGGTACAATGACAATAAAGAGCACTCTGGAAAGTTCCACTCACAAATCTTATTACAATGCATTAGCAGCCGAGCAACATAAACTGCTTTCGTACGTCCTTTCAGGCAAACGTAAATACAATTACAGTCACATTGACATCACTGGACAAACCACACTTTGAGAACGTGTATGACGTATGCTACGCGCACATAAAAACACGACGTGGCTAGCAGACAACGCACGGAGCAATCCACACTTCGCCTCTTCGGCCAGTTACCGCCAGGTGGCGACTCTGCTAGTTTTCGCGGCCAATCGGATTTAAGACACAAATTTTCAAAACACTGCCGTTGCCCCCCCCCCCCCCCAAAAAAAAAGCGCTATGATGCCCTGGAACACTTCGAATACATTTATTACTGCTGTCTTGATAAAAAAAGTCGCAGCTTTGCCGCAAAGCAAAGCAATGAACGTGATATAAACAAATTGGAAGGTCACGTGCAGAATGGCCAGCAGATGGAAGCATGCCCCGCGTTTCTCACGCACAAAGACGCACGAAACGTACTAACAGGTACAGTCTGAGTTGTTACTTCTCTGTGTCTGAAAAGCGCGACCTTTTCGCAAACGGAGACTGTGGAACGATTGCAGTGACATTTGTACGCCCAGTAACTACAACCGAATAGTTCCTGAAAGCCCAAATTCTGCCAAGACGTATGATCCTCCCCCGCCACGAGATTAGGGCGCAAGAGTGAGCGTCCCTGCCTCCCGTCGTGGCGCAAAGTACGCGTGGGAGATGAGAATGTGCGCCGCCGCGTCGTGACGATGTGGCGACGCGCGCTCATTGCGTCATCTTGCTAATAAAGCTGAAAACACAATAGCCCCCCCCCCCCCCGAGATGCCCGCCAGCAGCGGTAAGTGGTAGATATAAATAGTCTGCCGTTTGAACGCTGAAGGAGGTGCTCTTCTGTGGCTTAGTGATTAACGCCTCACGCTCACGATTCAGAGGTCCCAAGTCCGATTACCCGCGCTGGGGTCTTTCTTCGGAATTATTTTTCTTTTTTGCATTTACATACATGTAGATATGTATACATATACGGTGAGTGACGGCGACGCCGATGTCGACGACGACGTTGACACCAGCAGTGAAATCTAGCCGAGAGTGGCAATATAATTGCTATGGCAATAAAAAAGCTTTTTTTCTTTTTCAATATCGAGCAAGTGGTTTTACTGTGACGTATCCATTGATTGATATGTGGGGTTTAACGTCCCAAAGTGACGTATCCATGCTGTCTGGTGTAAGTCTAAGTCACTTGGGGAAAACAGCTCATTGCGTACTAGCATGGTCGTGGGCAGGGGGGTGCAAAAGGGGCAACTGCCTCCTACAGGCCACACCAGCAGTTGCCCCTTCTCCCCCAATCCAACACAACCCGCCCCCCCCCCCCCCAACCCTCTTAGCTGCGATGAACCACGGGTTTGCAAGCCTCAAGGCAAGATTCTGCCGACGCCAGTGCGTGCTTGTACCGCTCTGCCAAGTGCTGAACAACGATGAGTGAATGGTCGTCCAGTAACTCCGACAGCAACTGTGGTCGCATGCAAGACGCAGAGTTCGCCGACCCGGCGAACTGTATGGACTAGTCGTAATAACGTGTGTCGCAATGGTTCTGGGTTGCCGATACAGGGCGACAAAAACTATAAAATCAAACTGAACTATTTTGTGTATGCTTCCATGTTCCAGTATGCAGAGAGTATAAAGACTGCATGCTGCAGGCTAAGAAAATGAAAAACATCTCTATGCGATGCCTCAAAATCATGTCAGTACTCCTTTAGGTTACAGCTGTCTGTAAGAGTATGAATATGATTCAATAGATGTGCTTAACAAATTTTCACTGCGATAGTAATTATATGGATCCTCTGGGCAAATTTTTGCCATCACGGTCATATCCAGCACATGTGTATGTATGTCATCATCATCATCATCATCATCATCATCATCATCATCATCAGCCTGACTACGTCCACTGCAGGACAAAGGCCTCTCCCATGTTCCGCCAGTTAGCCCGGTCATGTGCTTGCTGCTGCCAATTTATACCCGCAAACTTCTTAATCTCATCTGCCCACCTAACCTTCTGTCTCCCCCTAACCCGCTTCCCTTCTCTGGGAATCCAGTTAGTTACCCTTAATGATCAGCGGTTATCCTGCCTACGCGCTACATGCCCAGCCCAAGTCCATTTCCTCTTCTTTATTTCAACAATAATATCCGCAACCCCCGTTTGTCCCCTAATCCACTCTGCTCTCTTCTTGTCTCTTAAGGTTACACCTACCATTTTTCTTTCCATTGCTCGCTGCGTCGTCCTCAATTTAAGCTGAACCCTCTTTGTAAGTCTCCAGGTTTCTGCTCCGTAGCTAAGTACCGGCAAGATACAGCTGTTATATACCTTCCTCTTGAGGGATAGTGGCAATCTACCTGTCATAATTTGAGAGTGCTTGCCGAATGTGCTCCACCCCATTCTTATTCTTCGAGTTACTTCAATCTCGTGGTTAGGCTCTGCGGTTATTACCTGCCCTAAGTAGACATAGTCTTTTACAACTTCAAGTGCACTATTACCTATCTCGAAGCGCTGCTCCTTTCCGAGGTTGTTGTACATTACTTTCGTTTTCTGCAGATTAATTTTAAGACCCATCTTTCTGCTCTCCTTGTCTAACTCCGTAATCATGAGTTGCAATTCGTCCCCTGAGTTACTCAGCAATGCAATGTCATCGGCGAAGCGCAAGTTACTAAGGTATTCTCCATTAACTCTTATCCCTAACTGTTCCCATTCTAGGCTTCTGAAAACCTCCTGTAAGCACGCGGTAAATAGCATTGGGGAGATTGTGTCCCCCTGCCTTACACCCTTCTTGATTGGTATTCTGTTGCTTTCTTTATGAAGCACTATGGTAGCAGTGTATGTATGTATGTATGTATGTATGTATGTATGTATGTATGTATGTATGTATGTATGTATGTATGTATGTATGTATGTATGTATGTATGTATGTATGTATGTATGTATGTATGTATGTATGTATGTATGTATGTATGTATGTATGTATGTATGTATGTATGTATGTATGTATGTATGTATGTATGTATGTATGTATGTATGTATGTATGTATGTATGTATGTATGTATGTATGTATGTATTATGTATGTATGTATGTATGTATGTATGTATGTATGTATGTATGTATGTATGTATGTATGTATGTATGTATGTATGTATGTATGTATGTATGTATGTATGTATGTATGTATGTATGTATGTATGTATGTATGTATGTATGTATGTATGTATGTATGTATGTATGTATGTATGTATGTATGTATGTATGTATGTATGTATGTATGTATGTATGTATGTATGTATGTATGTATGTATGTATGTATGTATAAAAACCACGAATAAATGAATTGGTAGACAAAATTTCCGAAATGCATCACCGGGATTTGAGCCTGTGACTTGCTCTGTCACATGCCACTTGATCTTCCAAATGTTAGCAGTGAGCAATATGTATGCACCAGTTATCACTGGTGGTATGCACATCTCCGAAGCGTTTCATTGTGTTCAATATCATCCACGATATGGTGCGAAGGGCGCGCTTTAAAGCGACGCTGCAATAGATTTTGTTTCAACTGCTCTAAAAAGTGGCCTATTCTTGTACCCGTTCGGGATGTGGAACACCGGGCAAGTAATACTTCGAAATCCGCCTCGCCACAGAAGTCACTCCAGGCACCACAGTTTTCAACAAGGATGCGGTGCCCTAGTGGACACTGTCCGCGCACTGAATGAACACCTACAAATAACAACTGTTGCAGTTATTAGTTCAAATCGGTCCTGTGTGTACTTAGGCATTCGTTTTAAGCATACTTCTTCGTGTTTGAGTGACGTGGCGCGAGTGTCGAGCTGTGACAGTTGTTCGCGCTCGTTATGTGTCTGTTCTTTTAGTGCATCCTTTGCGCTTGCGCGACGCTCTGCAAGTGTCGAATTGCTTCCCGTTATTTGTGACATTCGGATTTGTTGTTGCCGTATTCATTGCTTCGCCCTCGCCGGGAAACTGACTTTTTTAACAAAGGTGGTTGTCGAACATGAAGAAGCAGCTACAAATGAACCTGTTAATGAATTTACTAAGCTCACAAATTTGTGTTGGCTGGTTTTAGTTTTCCGGAACCTGACTAACCCGTAAGAAAGTTTTGTGGATGTTTCTCTCTTTTCCTTCCTTCCTCTCTATCTTTCGATCTTTCCTATGATGTTATCATGTGTAGGGTAACAAACCAGTTCTTCTAAACTGGTTAGCCTGTCTGCCTTTCATTCACTATTTCTTTTTGTGGATCAGAACTCAAGATAAGGTGCCTATATCACACTGCTAATTTCCCCAGAAGCGTGAACGATGATTCTTGTTCGTGTTCTTCTCCTTAGAATTATCATTATTAGACACACATTAATCATTGGCCATGGTAAAACGTATGACATAATATTAAACCTGCCAGTACAACGCGAAAAATAACAACCTGTAAAGAAATGCGGGCACAATTGACGGAGCTACTTACTTTAGTCCAGCCAGAACTTCCATCGCCGTGTTGAAATTTCCGATGTTCCAACAGCACATTGCAATTCGCAAAATACACGACAGGACAGCCTTGCGGTCTTCGTGCGTCGGTTGCGATATGATAATGTGCGTCACCCACGAACTCACCTGTTAAGAAAAACAACGACACAACAATAAAAGAAAGCTTGAGACTTCTATACACGTGTGTAAAATCAAATCCATGCAGTTCCAATTAATACAACTAATGATGCAGTGCAATGGAGTTAAACGATACTTGACGACTGGGAAAAAAAACGACCGCGAAACGCAAGAAAGGTGCTCATACGTTTACGAAAATACATAGTCACCCAAAATACTAGCGCTAGACTTAGACAGAAAGAAAATTCCCGTTTATCTCGATGCTGCACGTACACGATTACTGCAAGCGGCTGGTAAATAGTACAGGCATAACAACGAACCAGAAGCTTCGTGAAGCTATGTCAAGTGTAGCAAGCCAGAAGCTAAGGAATTCGCTGCCACTAACAGTGTACCTTACGATACGAAAATTTGAGAAGGTAGCTCGTAAAAGCGCATATTTTCGCGCTTCTTCTCCACAGGAATAAACGAAAATTCTATTTCGACTACTCAAACGAAATCTCACAACTACTACTTTAGACGCAGCTCGCTCCTGCCACTCGCCAGCTCTTGCAGACGTCTATAACCTACAGAATTATTTGTAAACACTAAGCACAGATAGTATTCACGGCTGTGCTGAAATGATCGGAAAAGCTTATATAGACGAGGGTTAATCATGACCCTGAATAGCGCGCCTATTTTAGTTGTTTGTAGCGTGATGGCCGAGATTGCACGGACACAATGCCGAGTCAGCAACATTGGAAGGGTGGCAAAATCGGCAGGCTCACTTCATTGAAGCGCTTGATCAGTGTCTGCACAGTCCGGTCTTTGTCGCCCGGGCTGAAGGTGGCCGCCTTTCCGCTGAGGTCGACGGTCACCTGGCGAATGTAGTGGACTGGGTTGACACTGTAGAAGAGCTCGTACTCGACATCGGTAAGCCGCACAGCCACCTCTTCGGGAAAATGCAGCAGGCCTTGCAGCCTTTCCAGCTCTTCCTTGTAGATGGTGGCTCGCTCCAGACCGTGCACCGAAACCATGTTGCGGTGGCTTTCTGCGGTAGAGGCACGCAGACCTTCTTTGAACTAATCGGCAAACAACACAAGTTGCCAATTGAAAGTGTTTCGTTAAAGTGGAAAGCAGATGGGCGTCACCTAAAGGCCTCAAGCACATTGGGGCCGAGGAGATAAGGGGAGGGGGAGCCAAATAAAAAACAAAGTCAAACGAAACGAACGCATTCAACATAAACAGACCAGAAAAAGGGATAAGTTTCGCTACAATGTAGGATTAGGATTACGATGTTGTAGGTAGCTGGTGGATCTAGCCTTGCATAATTCATAGGCAATCGGCCCACCTGGTTCCCTCTCTGTTAATTGTAACCAATAACCTTTTGTTTGTTTTTAACTAAGCACGCGCAAGCGACAATGGAAGCTGGGTATGAAAGCAATAAAGTGAATTAGACACACGGCGTTGCAAGCCAGGTGACACACCGTACCAACACCTCCAGGATTGTCATTAAAATGTTCTGTCTTTCTAGTTTTCTCGTTTCTTTTTTTTATTTTCTTACCGCCAGAGCCCATCCTAACGAACACGTTTTTGCGCAATTATACGAACACTGTTCGTAAAGGTAGGGGACAGTAACTCGTTAGGCAGGGCATACAAATAGCAAATTATGTTATGACAGTCTACCTCACTCTAATATCTCACCCTCTAAAAAATAGTTCTTGTTGCTGACATACGAGTACATGAAAAGTGGGCGCCGGCTATCGCGAAAAAATGAAATGATTTAAAAGTGTGAATTAAGTTTCATTCTTCTTTCGTTGTCGATTTCACCTTTTGTCGCTTTCTAAGACATGCGCTTGACGGCCAAATCTGGCGTTCTTTAGATGTCAGTGGACCTCAATGAAGCTCACTTGGTGTGCTCCGCTGAACTACTTCCGCCATTCCTTCAACACAACAGGCTCGCTAGTTACATAGATTCTTTGCAGATGAGACTCTCTTTAGTTGCGTTGTTGCACCCACTTGGCTTTTACAATATATTGGCAACATTGCGTGCGACGTAATGATGTGTATAAACATAGAATGCTGGGAACGAATAGCGCATGACCGCGAGTGCAACCGCCACCGAAGAGGAGTACGAAGTTCGCGAGACGATACACGTTGCTGTCACTGGAATTTATTTTCTCTGTTGTAGACCTTATGTCGGCAAAACATAAAGTGAAGCGCACTCAGGCTCAACCAAAAAACTGATTTGATTGATTTGTGGGGTTTAACGTCCCAAAAACTATATCTCGTTCTTTGAGCTCACTCGGACTCAGACTCGCTGAAATGGACACGCTTGTACTCAAGCTCACCAAAGTATTACTCCCCTGAACACACTCAGACTAACGGCTCGATCTGAGTCTGAGCGAGTCGACTCACGAGTGAGTATGCTGATCCGTTGACATTGAAGTGATGCTAGAAAGTAACGTTGCGTTGCTGGTCGCATCAACTTCACTCCTCGCCATCTGCATACACAGTTTCAGTCGATATAACTCCAGCTAGGATAAAGCCTGAAATATGTCATACTCTTAAAGAAGGCCGAGTTTCTCCTCAAAAGCGAAGCAATCAATGCGAGAGCACGAAGTTAAAATGCTACACAAAGAACGGCAAGCAGCTTGCAACATGCTGCGAGCTGCTCAAACACAAAGAAGGATGCACGAAAAGGACGCCCAGGCATACGCCGGAGGAACGCGAGCAGTCATAGTTCTTACTTCAACTAGCTCCGTCTTGGCTCTTACAGCTAGCAGCTCACTCCCCCTCAAGTGATCAGCACGCGTGCACGTGCGACTACTCACTGTATGTAACAGTACAAATCGAGGCGCACATATTCCAACTCTGGCGAATGGGGAAGCTTCAGCTGTGGGGACCGAAGAAATGGGCAGTGGCACGTGGAACCGTGGCTGGCGTTTCCTACTGGCGTCGATTCTGGCCGATTAAAAGAATACAGCATATTCACGGAGTGAGTGGTGATGAGTGGGGCGAAGCGTCCGTCCATCCATCCGTTTGTTTGCCCGTCCATCTGTGCATGCGTCCATGCGTGCGATCGCGTTCGACAATGCAGACGGTGTGCGGGTAACCCCGACGAGGCGCGAGCTTAGGAAGCCAAGCGCAAGTGTCTTCAACGCACCCGCTGCTCCTCTCCGTCCATGCCCCACCAACTATCCGCCACGTGCGGCGACTATCCGGGAGACTGAGAGAGGTATTCGTTCACGCACGAAGGCAAAGTGCGCGCAGCAGCCAATAAGAAAGTAGTGGCCCTTCGGAGAGTAGCGGCCGGATAAAGCCATCTAGGAAATTAGACGAGAAATGGTCATCCTTTACTCTTTCTCGTCTCTTCTTCTCTCGGTTACGCATGACTAGTGACAAGGTTAGACTATAAGAAGCTTTGCCCTTAAAAAAACTTCATATGGATCTAGTTGGTACATATTGCTGAGGCTAAAATTGCAGAGCAAGCACCCTTCTTTGTACTTTTTTACTTTTGTGTCCCTGCACCCATCTGAATATCATTTCATGTGTTCGCGTATATAATGCACTATCACACTTGTTAAACGTTTTCTTTTAGAGGTATTGTCGTGCAAGCGTGTGCAATAAGGTTGCCTGGGGCAAACTTACCGCATTGGGGTACATATGACCGTGCATTGGCGTATATATGAAAGAAGAAAGCAATGGTTATAGTCAGCGTGTGTGTCGTACGTTTTTTTTTTTCTTCCTGGGTAAGTTGTGCGTTTGAGCTGTAGTTTTAGTATCAGGGCTGTGGTCATGGTGTCAGATATTTATACTGGGATTGTGGATTAGCCGTCTCGTTTTTTCCTATGGCGTAAGCCTACAAGAGCGAGAACATTCCCACTAGCTCGCACCGAGCTACAACCCCAAAATGAAAAACTAGCGCGGGTCGCCAGCGATACACCACGAAAACGCAGCGCAGGCAATGACGCTGCAAAACCCGCGTCTCGAATAATTTCAATTTCACCACGTGTGGCATCCCGTGCGTTTCACCCAACACCACGTGCGTTTGTATTGTGCAGGTACGGTATAATGACTGATATGTGGGGTTTTACGTTCCAAAACCACCATGTGAATAAGAGAGACGCCGTAGTGGAGGGCTCTGGAAATTTCGACCACCTGGGGTTCTTTAACGTGCACCCAAATATGAGCACATGGGCCTACAACATTTCCGCCTCCATCGGAAATGTAGCTGCCGCAGCCGCGATTCAAACCCTCGACCTGCGGCTCAGCAGCCGAGTACCTTAGCCACTAGACCACCGCGGCGGGGCGCAGTTACGGTATACTGGAGAACGAACTGCACAAGACGTATTTGTATAAGGCAGCGCGCTGCGGAGCGAGGGGTCACAGGTTGGATTCCCTGGTCGCGCGCTTCGAATATTTTTTTGAAATATATACTTTTATTTTTTGGCTTATATGTATAGAGATACATATACAAGACAAGACGGAGACAGCGAAAATTGTGACGAGAGTGTTCATATAATTATTATCCCGATAACACTTGGAGGACCCTTGGGCTTCGTGATCAAGAGTAGAACGCGATGGCGTAATCAGGAGTTTGGAGACCCATGCGCATCACTTTCTTAATTGCTAGCCTGCATTTGGTACTCAGTGCGTGCCTCAAACGCGCCGTAGTAATCATAAGAATATCAGTTGTTTAACGCCCCAAAACCACAATGTACGTGATTATAGTGGTTTTGCTATGTGTGCTTCCCCCTTATGGGGCATTTAAGGGTTAATAAATGATGATGATGATGATGATGATGATGTAATTTTGAGAGATGCCGCAGTGGAGGGCTCTTGAAATTTCGACCTCATGGGACTCTTCGACGTGCATCTAAAGTTACGAGCACGGGCCTAAAATATTTTCGCCTCCATCGGACATGTAAGCGCCGCAGGCGGGATTGAATCCCGCGACCTTCGGGTTAGCAGTCGAGTGCCATAACCACTAGGCTTGTGCTCTGGCGCGGCTGCCTACAGCTCCATCAGCCGAAGATAAAGAAAGAGGCTCATATCGTGCGTACTTTCTGCTTGACGTTTAGCTGCAAGTTTCGAGCTGGTTGTCGTTCTTTGCGTGACTTTGTCAATTGTTGCTCTAAACATTCATTCTGTCGCTCTCGCGGCGAAACAATGGACAAAAAAAAAACGCCCAACTTCCTCTGTATAGACTTGTTTCACTTTCGCGTTATACGATTTCTTAGAAAGAGGGATCAGCCACTTTTTTTGTTTTTGAAGCAGTTTCGAGCAGCAGCAGTAGACCTGCTTGGCACGCAGACAGCCTGGCTTCGATATTAACTCAAAACAGGCATTTCTATTATTTATTTTATTTGTATCTTAATTTTTCGTTCATGGAAAATATGATGCGTTTCCACTCACAACGAATGACACCGACAACGACTCCGACACCGGAATTTTCGCGAAACGAGCTCGTTAACGCTGTCACGTTAATAGGTCTCCTGGCCATCGTGCTGGCATAGCGCTGACAATGCCCGGCCGCTGAGCCCAAATACGCGGGTCGCAATCCCATTTTGATGGAGGCGATATCCTGGAGTACCGGGTACTGTGCACATTAATCCTTTGTGGGGAAGCGGGACTTGTTGTCCCACATTTTGCTTCACCATGCATGTGCCAATCTTTTAGATCAAAGCACTGAATCAATTGCTTTTAAACTTTGAGGGCAACTGCGTAGATGTTTTAGACAGTCGTGGTGGTAGTTGTTTTGATGGAATGCACAGCATGGCAGCCCACACACAAGTTCCGAACGAAACATTCCGCTTGCACGCGCTGTATGTTTTTTTTTTCATCAGACTTTGGTGCGGTTTCGCCACGGTGGCCTAGTGGCTAAGGTACTCGGCTGCTGACCCGCAGGTCATGAGATCGAACTCCGGCTGTGGCGCTTGCATTTTAGATGAAGGCGAAAACGCTGTAGGCCTGTGTGCTCAGATTTGGGTGCACGCTAAGAACATAAGGTGGTCGAAATTTCCGGAGTCCTCCACTACGGCGTCAATC